GCAGGGAGGGGGAGTGTTTTGCTTTGAACCCTGGGTGGACATGGGGACATCAATGAGGTGGTACCACTGATAGAAAGATGCCGAACTACACCCTGGGGAGGCACCAGGCATGACGCACAGCAGTGCTGGAGACGGCACTGGCTGCTATAGAGCCAGCGTTTAGGGGTGAGGGGAACTGGGCACCTGAGACCAAAATGAGGTGCTAGATGGGACGGCGGATGTGACTGCTGGAAACGGCGCAGGGCGTTCCCCAGCCGAGAGGGGCTGCATCACTTCTCGGCCCAGGGGAGGCCAGGACGATTGCTCACCACGTTGTACAAGTCACGTGAAACCCGGTTTCCAAAGCATGTGCTCTCCTTGCACTGCACCTTTCTCTGCAAAGGATGTCACAATAAAACCTAAACCCACCTAGAGATCAACCAGTGGCCTCCAGGCCAAGGAGTGGAGAACTTGTCAGGGCAGAGCCAGGCAGCAACAAGCAGCGAAGGTGGCACAAGCCTCCCTGAGCAAGCAAGGCAAGGCAGGACACTTGCACTCAGGCTGGAGGCTGGCCAGGCCCTGGGTGTCAACCCCCTCAGTGCTTGGGAAAAATCCCAAAAGACTTTTAATGGCCACAAGTGCCTGGGACCTGGGTTTTAACATCTCATCTGAGATATGGTGGTTCTGTTTCCATTACACTCTCCTGCTTTGTCCTCGCCTACAATTATTGCAGGTTTGGGAGCTCCATATACCTACAAACAAATGGCACTGCCACGGGCACAAGCATGGCCCAAAGTATGCCCTCACATTTATGACAGACCTTGAAGACCATCACCTCTGCAGCTGCCCTTGCATTCCCATAATCTAGGCAAGGTACATTGATGGCATCTTCATTGCAGGGACACGTGGGAAGGAATCACTAGACGAATTTCATCAGGACTTTTAATCACTTCTGTCCCTCTGCCAAACTGGCTCTGGAATCCTCTACTCAGCAAAGTCATCTCTTAGACATGACAGTGGAGCTCTGCAACGGCCGCATTTCTACCACGTTGTATTGGAAACCATCGGACCGCTACAGCTATCTGCATGGCACCAGCTTTCACCCTAACCACACCTCTAGATCCACTGTCTACAGCTAAGCTTTACTTTACAACCCTATCTGCTTTGATCTCACAGGGCGGGGACGCATACCCTAAGAATCTGGAGCAGGGATTCCTACATCTACAATACTAGTACAACCCCAAAACTAGCCACTCAGATCAACAAAACCAGACGCAGACCCTGCTCTGACTGCTCCAATACCAACCGCCGGACAAGGAGAACAGATTTCCGCTGGTGGTCACCTAAGCCCTCGGCTTGAAAGTCTTAGACGCAGCTTTAACGACCTCCAACCCCTGCTGAAAAAGGAGGGCCATCTCCAAGTAGTCACAGGGGACAAACCTGTCCTGGCTTACAGGCAGCCTCTCCCCACCCTCACACGGCATCTCTCAAGCAACAGCCTCACCAAGTCTTGCAATGGACCCAGATGCCTTTCGTGCCCCAACATGGATACAGACCGCATCACTGGGCTGAATAATATGGATGATAACATTTGAAGTTTGTTCACTTGCAACTCCACCATCCCTTGCTTCCGGTGCTCCTCTGCTGTCTCCGTCGGGCAGACAGAGCGATCCCTACGTGAAAGAATGAATGAACACCATGCTGACATGAGGGCCCGTGGCAGAGCCCTTCAACCTCCCTGGACACCTCACCGCTGGCCTGAGGGTGGCTGCTCTTACCAGTCTTTTAAAAAACGATCTGAATGGGAAATTGCGGAACAGCAAATCATCCACAGGCTGGACTCTGGTAATATGGTTTAAACAGGGATAAGACTCCATAGTCCCATTAATTGGATTAGCTTTTGAGACTCCTTTGTTCCTATGGTTGT